AGGGGCAAAGGCCTTCCATATACTTCCCTACGTACCTTAATTTCTATAAGAAAGCCATACAACACTCCCACGCAGGCTAGAGTGGCATATTTAGCTAACCCACCCTTTTTTTTCTTCCTAAAATCGACCATAAGGCTACTAAAGCAATTGTTTGGGGCTCTACGTTTTTTAGGGCTTCCAATTTTATTTTATTTTTATATATATATATATATATATATATATATATATAGTTTGAAAAGAAATTTTTGGGTAGAAAATATAATTAGTGATAACTATTCACTTTATTTAACGTGGAGGTCATTGTAATATTTGAAATATGTTATAGTGTTTAGTTACTTGTAACATCATTTCTTACATGACTGCTTAGTTTGTTGACTTATCATATCTTGACGATTATCATGAACCCACATTACTATTCTTATATTCACATTTTTATTCTCTTTTTTTATTTTTATTCTTTCAATATTGAATATTTTAAAGTCTACCAAACGGTCAAATTTTTTCATTATGCAAAATCTATTGTTCTGTGTTTATTAAAAAGATCAAATTTGTGTTTTGATATATTCTTTAAATTTCAAGCTGCAACAAATTAATACTATTTATTATCAACTTATCAAATTCAACACAATTATTTTAATATCATTGTATAAACTTTTTAATTTTTTTAGTCAAGTTTTATTATTCTAACTTTAAATTACATGTTTTCGTTGGAAACATCATGGATGAAAGATGTAAGTTGGTGGAATAGAAAAATGGATCTCGGGTAAGCAGGGGCGGATCTAGCTAGCCCTCCTCTGCTTACAAGTTTGGCCGAACTCAGAATCTTTGATCCAAATTATGCATTTATATTAGAAGCTTATTGAATATACATAAATTATTAATTTAGGACTATTAACTTTAAAGGATTCAAATCTTGAACTCTTATAATTAATAGGGTAAAATGGTAAACTCACTATATCAATCATTATTTTCTTAATATGTGTTGTTGACACCCAATTTTGGACCTCCACATTATAAATTAATCATATATATATATATATATATATATATATATATATATATAGTTTGAAAAGAAATTTTTGGGTAGAAAATATAATTAGTGATAACTATTCACTTTATTTAACGTGGAGGTCATTGTAATATTTGAAATATGTTATAGTGTTTAGTTACTTGTAACATCATTTCTTACATGACTGCTTAGTTTGTTGACTTATCATATCTTGACGATTATCATGAACCCACATTACTATTCTTATATTCACATTTTTATTCTCTTTTTTTATTTTTATTCTTTCAATATTGAATATTTTAAAGTCTACCAAACGGTCAAATTTTTTCATTATGCAAAATCTATTGTTCTGTGTTTATTAAAAAGATCAAATTTGTGTTTTGATATATTCTTTAAATTTCAAGCTGCAACAAATTAATACTATTTATTATCAACTTATCAAATTCAACACAATTATTTTAATATCATTGTATAAACTTTTTAATTTTTTTAGTCAAGTTTTATTATTCTAACTTTAAATTACATGTTTTCGTTGGAAACATCATGGATGAAAGATGTAAGTTGGTGGAATAGAAAAATGGATCTCGGGTAAGCAGGGGCGGATCTAGCTAGCCCTCCTCTGCTTACAAGTTTGGCCGAACTCAGAATCTTTGATCCAAATTATGCATTTATATTAGAAGCTTATTGAATATACATAAATTATTAATTTAGGACTATTAACTTTAAAGGATTCAAATCTTGAACTCTTAAACTTCAAATCTTAGCTTCGCTAAAAACCATCATTAAGAATGGTGTATGATGATTTGACTTCATTTATTTAATTATTTGAAACTACTGGAGGATATTCATTGTGTTAGTAATTTAAAACTTCTGCAATTCAACTGTTTAATCTACTCCCATCACAATAGTTATCTTTCCTCTTGGGAATTAAATCAATATTAATGTTGTTACTTGTGTGTTAATTTCTTTTTCTCTTTTTGAACAATTGGATGAAATGAAGAGGTACCAAAAAATATTATTCTTAATTATCTGTGTTCATCACCAGTGAAATTATGGATATGAACTTCACTGGTGAACCCAGATATTTTGTTTGTTTGCAATTTTCATAATACTTATAAATATATAGGTGTGTGAATATGATGATTTGATTTGTTTAAATATTTTCAGTTGCAAATAAAAATGTCGTTTGTACTTTTGCATGACCAAGACAAGGTTTGAAGTAGCTTCCTTCAGTACCCAGGAACTAATGTTGGGGTAAAAATTTATTCGTGCTCGATGATATTGTATATTTATTTACGGATAAATTTTATTGTTGATGTAATGACTCTCATCATATAGTATGTTTTTTCAATTTCCTAAATGGATATGAATAACGTAATTTCATTCACTAGTGATGAATTCAGTACAGGTAATTAATTAAGAATAATATATGTTTTGATGAATTAACAAATTATGGTGCATGGGATCAATGGCGGAGCCAGAACTTTGACAAAGGGGTGTCAAAATATAAAGAAGTAAAATCGCGTAGAAGTCAAGGAGTGTCAATATGTAATATATATACATAAAAAAATATTTTTAGTCTAGCTACACAATGTAATTTTTCGACGAAGGGGTGTCGGTCGACACCCCTCAACTTCATGTGGCTCCGCCACTGCATGGGATGACCTAGCAAAGGGACCTAGTCCTCAGAATTCTCATCTTAGAGGACAGGTCAATTGTGTGCAGCTATAAAGCTGCAGAAACTACATCGGTTAGTAAGCACTGTAGTAGAGGCACAAAAATGACAAACATGCCTCGATCAATGATGCATGTACTATTAGATTTTTGTCTCTCTTATAAAATGAACATGTTGACAAGACCAAACCTAATTTTTGCAATCAAGATTATTCACACAGCAAAAGTCATTTTCAGAGAAGAACTATTCTCATACACAATAAGGGGCATGTTACTTGAGTTATCTTTGAGTTTAAGAACTATTCAGACCTCAACCATCTTCTTTTAAAAAAATAAAATAAAATTCTCTACCCCACCTCATTTAACCCTCCGCTCCTAATTTTTATTATTTTTCATTTCGTGAAGTATATTGTTAAGGCTCATCTCATCTATTATTTGGTTCATACTCAGGTAGGAGAAAGATCAGGGAGACCAAGGAAGATGTTACCATTTGACGAATCACGAGGGAGGTGAAATAGCATTTGGTGTTGCAAACATTATTGCCACTTTCAAGGATACCTTCATTGTTGCCTTTTTCTCTTCGCCAAGTACTGATTCAGATTGGCTTGTAAAGTTTTTATATGATATGTTCTAATTACCCTTGTGTTATTTAAGCTTTATACTATTACTCCATATAAGGGAAAGATATAATTCTAACATTAATCTAAATATAACATATTTTCTACGTAAAGAAACCAAAATCACATTTTAATTAATTGAAGGTTAAATGTATTTATTTATAGGGAAGAATCAGCACCTTCATTTGTTTTAGATGTCATATTTGTTTCTTCACCTAACCCCAGATTAAGAACCAAAAACTGCTCTGATACCAATTTATAGGATATATATAAAGAGAATATATTATTTTTGAGAATGCTCAAATTTTAAACAGGCTACTTAAGACCACTAGAGATTATTAGAATCATTAATTACATCTCTATTTATACTACTCCCTCTGTCCCATTTTATATGTCATCTTTTTTTATAAATAGCTGCACCACAATACTTGACATTTTATAAATTTTATGCATAAATTACCATATTTTGACTATTATACCCTTGATAGAGTAGTTAATTAATCTTGAAAATGTATTCATCATTTCTTATAAAGTTGACTTAAGAAAACATTAAATAAGGGTAGAAGGGTAAAGTTACATCATTTCTTAATGCAACTGCATAGTAAAAATGTGACATATAAAATGGGGCGGAGGGAGTAGTAAAATGTAAAACCAAAGATCTTGCGTGCAATAACTAGATACATGTATTACAAACTCCTAAAAAATTTCTTGAAAAACTAAGAGACAATATGGAAAGACTAAACATCAAGGTGTGAATGCATTAATTCAAACAAGGTATTTATTTATCTTATATAAACTAGATTGTATTTGTCTTTCTTATTTTCTAGGTCAATTATCTATATTATAACAAAGCAAGTATGTCAAAATGCTAATTGTTGAACGACAGAAATATTCCCGAAATGTTGAACATCTTTTATACCCTTCATAAACTAAATTTTCCTTCAAAGAAGCAAAATACGTGTTGGATAAATTGTAATATTTAAAATGCAATCAATATTAACTACAACTTTAATTCAACTAAGCTAGATAAATTTGGTGAAATATAATTCATTGTGGACTTAATTTGACGTTCTAATCACTGAGTTAACTTTTACTAATACATAATGAGGTATTATAGTAGAGAGAAATTACTTGGAAAGAGGTAAATTAGGAATGGGAGTAAAATTAGATATGCCTCCTAGAACATTACAATTTCACATTGGATAATAATATAAAAGAACTATGAAATCCATAGGATGATTTTTTTTTATTCCACAAAAAAGGGGAATCTTGTGTTCCAATAGAAGCAAAAGTGATGTGGATTAATCAAGAATTGAAGTCGATTTGCTTTATAAAAAGAAGATAAGAGGACCGCTATTTTGGTTTAGAAGAGAGTTTTCTCAGGAACACTATAATCAACTATAAATTTGATATCCGAATTGTCTCAACATGATAACTCTTGAGTTACATTCAAACTAAATGTTTGTTGTATTGTTTTTCTATTCATACAGGTTTAGTCTTCTGTTTCTTTTTTATGGTGATTGAGCATTGAAGATTAGTGACTAAAGAAAGATGATCTTGTCTGATTATGCATCACAGAAGTGAATTGGTAATGTTTTCCTTTTCTTTTCACTTGAGAATATTTCGTATTGTATTAAAAGTCTACTATCTTTAGATATAAAATTTATAATAGTTGTAGGGGTGTGAAATAGAGACTTTTTTTATGACTGTGGTGTCCAGGCTATCTTTCGTTCACCTCGACTAATTCCATGGGATACCTCCCACCTTCCACCAGCAACAGGTACCATGGGACGGAGACTGGTTCTACTTACTATCGGCTGTCTGTAGTTCACTTGTAGGTGACTAGATAGTTTTTAAAGTTTCTTGTGAGCTACCAGTATAGAAAAGTTAAAAAGTCAAGTTTGAGGAAGTTAGAGTACCCGTCCTCGACGTTCTGCAAATCCCGTCCCGATAAATTTGCAGCTTCTTTGACAGCGGCTTTCCACCTTGCTACCTTCTCCTTCCCAAAACGTTTTTTGTGTTTAGAAAGTGCTTTATCAAATGTACCGGCTTGTCTACGTACCTCAGAAGGATTAACGTCGTAGAATATAGGAATAACTAGCTGACCATGCTGCTCTCTGCACTCGAGTATCTTCAAAAGCTCATCGAGACACCAGCTAGACGATGCATAATTTTTTGAGAAAATAACAATGGAGATCATGGAATCTTCTATAGCTTGAATCAGTTCAGATCTGATTTCTGTGCCTTTTCTGAGCTCCTCATCGTCTCTAAATGTATTAACTCCAGCTTGCACCAAATTTGAATAGAGGTGGTCCGTAAAAGTTTTACGTGTGTCTTCCCCTCTAAAACTCAAAAAAACATGATATTTATGGGATGAAGATGGAGGTGGAGGCATGGAGGATGAGGGAATTATAATACTATTAGTAGCCATAGACACAAATTTTAGTATTAGATGAAATTGAAGAAAGAGTTAATCTATGGTGAGTGGTGAACAAAGGAATCGACGACATGGCATTATATAGAGGCAGAGGCCTTCCATATACTTCCCTACGTACCTTAATTTCTATAAGAATTCCACAAATTATGTCTTGATATCCATACAGCACTCGCCACACAGGCTAGAGTGGCACATATTTAGCTAACCTCCCCCCCACCCCCCACCCCCTCCCTAAAACACCATGACACAAATTAAGACAGAGGGAGTAATAAATTTGGTCAGAATTTCAGAGAAAGTGACTACTTCTTGGATAAATTCCACAAAAGGATCGTTATCATCTCCTTTATAATTTGCCACTAGTGGGTGCACAACTTGTCAATATTTCAGACCAAAAAAGTCTCTAGCTTTCAACTAATTTTGATATTTAATAATGTCCGCTATGAAACGGTCCTTCTAGGTCACCTCAAGGCTTTTTGACCTCATGGTTTTGTCCACTAAGGTGGCTGGCTTTAACTTAAAAAACGCCTCAACATTTGAAAATTTCGACGCGCAATTATAGGTGATTTTTATATTACACAACAAAGTTGATTTACGTACTTTGTGAGATAATTATTTTTAGTGGAGTATTTTTATGTTATAAAACAAATGTATAAGTGATTTTTTGAGATAAAAATTATTCGTTGATAGATGATTGTCTGAAAGATCAACTCCGACGAATATCACCAGTTTGACATCTAATATACTTACATAGCAAGAAAATAATAATATATAACTTTATATATAAAGTAATTTTCTGACGATAAACTTTTTAGCTCCGTTCCTACATTGAATGTTAATGAGTTTAGATTCTTTCAACAGATAATTAACTAACCAATTTTGGAATTTTGTAAAAAGGAAGAAAGTATGGAATTTAGAATGTGCCCGTGATAAATATTAATTTTTTTTGTTTTAATTTATGTGATATCAATGGAATTTGAAGATCAGTCGATTTTTTATATGTTTTCTTAAAAATATATTTGAAGTTATTAAATTGTTGTGATTTATAGTATTTTTGCGTTAGTTTTGAATAATATAGGTTACTCATGTTTCAATTCACGTGAATAATCATAAATATTTTCAGTTGTTAATTTATTGTGAATTCTAGAAATTTTGACGTTATTTTCAAATAGTACATGTTACTTATTCTATTCCAATTAGTCAACCAAATTTCTTATATGATTTAAAAATATTTTTAATTGCTAATTATTGTGATTTATAGCATCTTTTATGTAACTTTTAATAATATATAATTTGTTCAAATTCATATGACAGTGAGGTCAAATTTTTGGGCTAATAAAGTAGTAGGTAATTAATGGTGTTAAATTGTCCAATATTATAAATTTTAAAGGTACAATCTTAAAAGAAGAATGTACAACACTATCAAGCACATATCATTCAACACTTGTCATGTGGTAAGTAGTAGATATTCCCACTTATTATATATAGTAATATGTCTAAGCTAGTTTCTGATTAACAACCTTTAGTAAGGTAAGGTTTCCCTCTTTTTGCTGTACTTTTTAGTTTGATTAATATACACTAGAGTGGTTTATCGTCACCACAGGATGGTGAATGCTCGGGTTGATGGATTATAATAAAAATAAAGTTTTGTGTGTAGTTAAAACACCATGACACAAATTAAGACAGAGGGAGTAATAAATTTGGTCAGAATTTCAGAGAAAGTGACTACTTCTTGGATAAATTCCACAAAAGGATCGTTATCATCTCCTTTATAATTTGCCACTAGTGGGTGCACAACTTGTCAATATTTCAGACCAAAAAAGTCTCTAGCTTTCGACTAATTTTGATATTTAATAAGTAATATTTCAGACCAAAAAAGTCTCAAGGCTTTTGGACCTCATGGTTTTGTCCACTAAGGTGGCTGGCTTTAACTCAAAAGACGCCTCAACATTTAAAAATTTAGACTCGCCCCTATATGGCTCCCCCTAACTTTTCCTCCATTTCGATAGGCAAGTTTCATAGCAAACCCTCTTTTGAATTTTGACTGTTAGTGGTATGGATCAAAGATGTATAAGTTAGGGGAATAGAAAAATGGATCTCAGTTAAGTGTAGGGGCGGAGCTAGCTAGCCCTCTGGTTAAGGGTTTGGCCGAACTCAGAAGCTTTACCAAACTATATGTGTTGTGTGTGTGAAAATGATGATTTGATTTATTTAAATATTTTCAGTTGCAGATAAAAATGTTGTCATAGAAGTGTACTTTTGCATGACCAAGTCAAGGTTCAAGTGGCTTCCTTCAGTACCCAAGAGTTGACATTGGGGTAAAAACTTATTCGCGCTCGATGATATATGTTTATTTACGGATAAATTGTTATGTTATGGATCGACTCTTCGTCATATAATATGTTTCGATTTACTAAATGGATATGAACAACATAATTTCATTTCATCCATATTACTATCACAATGAATATTCTCCCCTAGTTTCACAGAGATGAAGTCAAAACATCAAACATCATTCTCAATTACTTATTTTAAAACCTTTGGGGGTATTCTCTAACTATAGTCTATGTACTATTTATTGTGATAGGGATTATCATGTCTTATTCGAGGTCCATTTTTCTATTCCCCGACCTTACATCCTTTACTAGAAACAAAGGTTTTTTTTCATCGCGGATCAGTGGAAAATTTGTGCTATAGAACATGATTCTCCCACTCATTTCTCACCAAATCAACTCACTGGTTGTGTGACTGTTCTCATCACCTTCCTTTCCATTATTATCGATATGAGTTTTGTCGAAGGTACTACCGTTGTGTAAATGTTCTCATCGCCTTTCTTTCCATTATTATCGATATGAGTGTCGGTACTATCGTTGTGTGAATGACGTTTTCATCGCCTTTCTTTCTATTATTGTCAATATTATGAGTTTCTTTGTATAAATGTTTTTATAGACTTCTCAATGTATAGGATCTTTACGTGCCCTAGTCATAACCTTTTGTAGTTGTTGCACGTGTACATGGTTGCGACCTTGCGTATCTGTCAATTTGATTCGATTTTGAAGATGATTAACTTGATTTAGTGGTTATCAATTTATAGACATGTTATACAGTTAAGATATCAGTTATTGGTCATTATAAGTTAAACCCTTAAGATTACACATAAAAAAAATTCTTACGAATTATGTGACAAACGGAATTTAACAGAGCGTTCTAAAAAGTATCACTAGTATACAAGGTATGTTATATGTTATTATAATGATAAGACCTACCTAATAGTGTAAATATTTTTTATTTATATTGATAGTATATATATATATATAACTAAAATTCGTAAATGAAAAATTCCTAATCTTTATGTCTAATGTCAATAGTACAACTCTCACATTGCAATCTCAGCATGTATGCCTTTTATGATAATTTCCAAATTGCTAGAAACGACTTGTGTGATTTTCGTCCTCGAGTCTTGTACAAACGAGATCACCTTCATCAATCATAAATGAGAGTTGAACCCGATGTTGTCTTTGTTGAGTTATGTTTGACCTGTACTTATTTGTCACGTGTCATCTTTTGAATAGTCGTCCACCTATTAAGTCCGAGTTTTACCTCATATAGCGTTTGGCTATGATTTTTGTTCAAAAAACACGCTTGATCATAAAATTTCAAAATAATAATAATCATAATTTAACTTGGGATTTGAAAAAACACCAAAAAATTATTTTCACTTTTTTCACTCCAAGTTATTCACAAATATTCAAAAACAACTTCAATTTTTATTCATGTCACATATAACTTCAATTTTCAAATATCATTATTCACTTTGAAAAAAATAATATTATTTTTAAATAGTCACAATTTTCATGTTGAAAAGCTTGCCAACTCCTCAACTAATAAATTGAATTGAATTTCAACATGTATATGATTTCCAAGTCAGGTTTTCAGTCAAAAAGGGGGAGAAAAAGAAAGAAAAAGTATTAATATTAACAAGAAAAAGCTTAAAATAAAATATAGGAGAAATGTAGATCATGATGGAGAATAGACTTGCACCTTCTATGGCCTAAATTTATTTAAGTACTATATGATATGATATTTAATTAATTTCTTAATGAATATAATTTTGCAAAAAGTGAGATTCTCACTTCCCTTTTTTAAAGGATAAGCATAAGTGGAGTCTTTTTATGTAACTAATAATAAGTTTTCCTTCTTAAATAAAATAAAAATAACGATATATTCTTTCACTTGGTTTTAAAAAAAAAAACAATTCAATTTGTTGGGGAATTTTATTTAATAACAAGTATAACTAAAGATTTGTGAAAGAAGCACTTAAAAAGTTATTCCTTTACTATACTTGAAGAGCAGCTAGAATTCAATTCTAGTGATTTAATTTTATGTTCGTTCAAACATTATCAAAGAAAAATAATACGATTTCCTATCATAAGAAAAGATGGGAAAAAAGGAGCCGAATTTGGAAAAATATAAAAGTATGTTTTATTTTCACGAAAAGGAAATGAAAAAGGAGATTGTAAGGTGGAAATCAAATTTTCACTAACACATTGAATATTTAAATAGTCAACTAACTCAGCTATTAAAATGTTCAAATAAAAATAAATTATTCAAAAGGATTTTATAATATTAATAGCAACAAAAAAAAAACACGTTCCTTAAGAAAACGACGTTAACAACATTGAAACACGACTCCTAGTTCAATCTATTCTCAGTTTCTCATTAAGTTTTTTCATTGGATCTTACCTTTGTCACTGTCTCAAATTATCTTTCATGTTTCTTTTTTACACGTTTCTCAAAAAAATTATTAATCAATAGATTTTTTTTTGATGATATATTTTACCCTCATTTGATTACTTAAAATATAATCTATCTTTATGAAATATTTTATTTAATTGAGGTGTTTATAGTCTTTAAGAACAATTATTACTAAGGATAATAGAAAAAGTTATTTTATTTTATTTTATTTTTAACTTCTAAAATAATAACAAATAATATGA